TTGAACTATCGAAAACATACGAAAGCTCTACCGGAAAATCTATTCGAGCCGCAGTAATATGCTGCTCATGTGATATTCCAGCCGCGAGAAAACTCTGCGGTCATATCTCTGCGCGAGTGGCTTGTCATAGATGCTTAAAAAAGGCTCAATATGATGATCGAAATCAACCGAATTTTGGCGGATTTGATGATATTGATGAATGGTTTGTCGAAAGAGATATCAACCAGGTTCGAAGGGATGCGCGAGAATGGTTGAATTGCAATACTAAAGATGCTAGAAATAGTCACGTCCATAATACTTTAGTACGGTGGTCAGAAATGTATCGACTTCCGTACTTTGATTCAGTGCGATTTCTCACAGTGGATCCAATGCATTGTTTGTTCTTGGGTATTGCTAAGTGGATCGTGACCAGACTGTGGATCGAGGAGGGCCGATTGACACAAAAAGATTTAGAAACAATGCAAAAAAGGGCAAATGCAATAAAAGTTCCAGCAGATATCGGTAGAATTCCCTACAAAATTGCTACAGGTGAAGGCTTTTCAAGGTTCACCGCTGATCAATGGAAGACTTTTATCTTAATTTATGCCACTTCCATAACATGGGATCTGCTTCAAGAATCGGATAAATTGATACTAGCCAATTTTGTCAGTGCATGCAATATTCTTGTATGCAGATCTATAACAACGAATGGGTTAGAAGAAGCTCATAAAAATCTTCTAGAAGTGGCAAAGCTCATTGAAGAAAATTACGGCGCAGAAAAAATTACGCCGAATTTACATTTATGCTTACATATTTGCCATTGTGCGTTAGACTATGGACCATTATACGCGTTCTGGTGTTTCAGTTACGAACGCATGAACGGTCTATTAGGTAATTCCAGATTTCCGAACTTATCAATATAATTAAATCAATTTATTAAATAGTCTATATTTATAGGATCGTATCATAGCAGTAATAGAAGAATCGAACCAGAATTATTAAAAACCATTCAATTCAACTCTCTTCTTGATCAGTTTTCTTCATGCGCCCAAGACCATCAACATTTATCGACTTGTATCACACTAATTACACCGAAAGAAACTACCGGCAGTCTTGTAATTCATGATGAAATTAATGGAATAGATTACCGGGAATTTTTATCAATGTCTAGAAACGTGGAAGAAATGGCCAGAACAGGTTCGGAACCTTTTCCAGGTACTTTTCTTAATCCTAAAAAGATAGACACCAACCTTTCAAAAGAAGTATTAGATTTGTTGGTTGAATATTACCGCAATGCCTATGGAAAAGATTTCGCAGCACTATCAGATATCCATGCTGCTCCTTCTGCTATACCGGTATTACCAAAAGTGAACACTTATGGACGACTAAAAATTGGATCCGAAGTTTTTGGGTCAATGTATTCTAAAAGGCACGTCACATCGGCCAAAATATTATCCCAATTTCTCCATGATAATACTAAAGATACTTATCCCGGTATTGTTCAATTTTATTTTGAACATATTATACATTTTCCGGAAGGTTCTGTAAATCATTCCCTAGCATTTGTAAAGTGGTACCTTCAGGCAGAAAATCACAAGACTAGATTTCATTGCACAATTAATGGCGATGAAAATTTGTGCAATATAGAACTATGGAAAAAAGAATTTTATGATCTTAGCAGGGATTGTATTATCCCTGTACATAGTATACTGGGTCAGTTTGTTGAAGGTTCTTTTTCAATAGGACGAAAAGAAACCCGGAAATATGTGTCAGTAATACCGATCAATAGAAAGTTTCATATTTAAAATTTATAATAATACTGTAATATCAATCATGTTTTATATTATGAATATTATAAATATACAAATAAATAAATATATAATAATTATTATTAAACCTTTAAATTTCTCACCGTCTAATATCAATGTTCTATCAGTATTATTATCAGACATGTGATGTTTTACCGATGCTTATTTATAAATTAATGACAGATCATGACAGATCGGGTGTTTATTTATTAGTCATCGGAAAATCCGAAAGGTAATCAATTTGTTACTTATTATCAGCTGATCAAATTTGATATACGTTTAGAATCTATCGGCTTCTTATATAATAGAATCAATAGGCCTATCGGGATACTGATTATTTAATGATAAAAAAAATAAGAGCCGGTTAAGAACCGAAACCTGATTGGTCCCGATTCTTAACTGGCTCTTAATACACCGATTCTTCATCATTTGACCAGTGTAGGTTCACCACATCACTTCGTGAGCAGAGCTTAGAAATTTAGATCCACAAATCACGTAACTAATTGTTTTGTAGTCGAATAATTGTATTTTGATTATTCTCTGATTGTATCCCCTCACTTCGAGCAGTCTCCGACTGATGAACTTTCCTTTGACAACAAAAGTATAAATTTTCTGTTGTAGACATCATACTCATATATTTTATGTGCAATGTATTTCCTCTCCCTATCATCTATTACTATTTACAGCTATCATATTTTAGGCGGAGCCTACGAGGTAGATTCTTCTTGAAATGCGCAAGCAGTGTATGATTATTACGCTCTACATATGACGAAACTATTAGTATTCTTTTCTTCTGTATTCTATTTTTTGTCATTGAAATCTCAAGGAACCTCGAGCATCCACACGCTATACTGGTTATTTAGTGAAACTGGCTAAGGCAACTCCACACATTTTGATGTTTGTTATGTCACAAATTCTATACAAGATTTTCTAAGGAACGAAAAAAATTATTATATTCGTATAAGATTTCAGTGTAGACACAAATAAAAATGGTAACATTCAACTACAGCGCCATGTCGAATGGCTAATAGACGGTACATATACAAAAAATAGTGTGTCGATGCCCATGAAAAATCTATCTTGCAATTCAATATAACCCCACATAATCAAGTTGAAACATGTTTATCATAGAGATCCCTTATTTCACGAACTCTTGAGAAAGCGTGAACAACATGGGATGATGCGTATAACATAGAGTTAATGGGAAGGATGTGAGATAACATACATAACAGGTACGTAATCTCCCATTATTGTAACATAACATGCACACTTAACGTGTACATTGCATTATTACATTATGAAGGCAATCCCTACAGGCCAGCAAATATATTGTATCGCTAACAGCAAACCATTACACTGTCGCCAGTAAATATATACTCGGAGTAACAAAATATCGCTAACGACACCATTACATCATTACGTTGCGGATCAGTACCCTCTGGTCAACGAACATGCGATGTAATATAGCAAAAAATGTGCATTCAATGTTACATTGCAAAGCAATACACTCGCCATTTTTACAGTAGAACTGAGTCCCTAGAATTCCCTACCCTACGGGTACGAAGTAGAACATGGTTGCATAATAGTAGACTATGGGACCGAAACTTTTGGACTCCGGAAACAAGACTCAGAATTACAATACAGTATCTCTTGTAACCATTTAGCCTCAAACTCGTATAGATTCAGCTTATGTTTACAAGAGAGTCTCTACTAGGGCTCTGTGAAAAACAAGGAATAGATAGTTCATAGAACGGAATTAGTTGTGTACGCTATTACGGATTTGTTCTCATACAAAGTCAATACTTGCTGCAGTACACATCTTGTATCAGTTTACGTCATTTGCTTCTTTTTTCATCACTGTCGCTCATATTGACAGGTAATTAACTTTTCATACCTGATTAGCTATTTACAGAAAAAATTGTTAACAAAATCTTCACTTCCCATAAAACCAAATGTTTTATAATTCGAGAGGAAGTCCTACCCAGAGGGTAGTTTGGAAGGCTCATCGTCTACTAAGTTTGTATCTTTCGGTATGTGGCAAACTTCTCTTATTTATTTGTAGACTTTTCCGAATCGAAATTATTACGTTCATGTGAAGTGTATTCTTATTTTGTATGTCATCGTAGGCATGTGTTATACAAGTAATGAATTTACAGTAGATTGATCACGTATAGTTTGTTCCTATGAACAAATGTGCTAATCTAATCGTTCCTTCATTAGAAACAAAATACGTAACAAATATTGTGTTCCATACATTTGCATCTTCCGATTTTGTATTCTACAATAAACGTCTTGCGTTATTCAGACTAGCACAGAGTATAATAACAGATTTTAATGAGCAATTTGTAGACAGTTGATAACGGTTTTAATTGGCTAAAAGAAGAGCCAGCGGAATGAATATGGGAAATTCGGTTAACTGTGTAGAAAATCTCGAATCCTGATTCGCTCCAACTGCTATGAGGATACAAAGTGACCATATTATAAGCTTGTACAACACTCAGTAAAACACATAAACTTCGTTTACTAGGGGAGCCTACGGAGTAAACTTCTACGCAGTATTAAGCATTTTTGGATTCTATCATTTCTACACATCGAAGACGAGAACTACTTAATTGTTAACCATACTATGGGTTTTATTCTGAATTCTACTTCGTACCCTTTAGGTAAGTGGGGCTATGAAGTAGTACCGCAAAAAGATATTCCGTTGAGACATGTCCACATTCTCATAGACACAAAAACCCCTGCTTTTTTGTAATGGCAAACCCCCCTTTTTTGTTAGCGCAATACTCCTATTCTAGAACGATTCGAAATTTCGTTTTCTTAGGAGCGTAACCGTTGCTCACTTATATTCCTCTAAATGTGGTGCTTAGAAACAACAGTTTAATGAATTGGCAAGATAGGTATTGTATTAATATAGTAATCAAGGTTCCCTAAAATACAGAATGGGGATCATGATACGGATTATATAGTACACGTGTTCTTATATAACCTGTTTACTAGAACGAGGTATTTCCATGTCTTAATACTTCTCATTTTTGTAGTAGCAACACAGGAACAAACTGGCAACACAACACCACAAATGGTACTGTGCCAATCCCATGCCTATCTACTATGTAGGATCAAGAGAGTAAAATTCGTATTTGGTAATGCTCGAAACCCATTCTTGTAAACATTTCACTCTGCGATTGAATTCTTTGGTTAGAAAGTGCTGTGTTAGGAAGGGAGGAATATAGTATTCCATAGTAGAGGATCGTTTGTTTGTTCGGAACGTCCAGTGAATTGCTCTCCGGGTATTAGTTCGCAATGGGAAATTATTCTGTCTAAACTGCCTAAACGAATGAAGCCCAGTTTCTGATTGGCATCGCACATCATCCTCGTAACTCGAGTGCAGCAGCTTACTATTTTGTCATGTACTTTATGGTGTTTAGTCGTAACATTGCGCACGTTCGGTAGACCCTCATTTTTTACCACTAGTGTGTTTACGAGATCACTGCCTTGCTTTCGTTGGAGCGGCATGAAAACATTCGTCACCCAATAGTTGATAGTCATTGCGTACTCGATCAGAGCATAGTTTTTTACCTAGAGGGTACAGAGTAGATACGTTTTTGATAGGAAATGGCTTTGTAACAACGAAACTAAATGAGTTACCCCACTACTACAAGTATCCTGTCTTATATATTTCGTCGCACACTGTCTTACACTTCCTTCTTCAGTCACCGTATCGGCAATGAGGTCCAATAGTATCTGACGATGATGCATTGATTGTGTACTCCGATCAGGGGGACTATGGTGCAATAACGTCAGGACAGGGATAACAGTATCTGGTACACTCATATAGTATGTCATTTCACATGAAGAGGGGTCACGCAGTGTACAGTGGTGAGCATATTTTTTTGGAAAAAGAAAGAGGCAAATTACGTAAAAAACGTACAAATAACTACCTAGTATGGTCATTTTCACACATTCGTCATTCCAAATAATTTTGATCACCACCGTATCTCTGAAAAATTTTACGGTACAGGGGCATTTATTCGGAATACCCGTAAGGTGGACCTTATGATCATTTATGTATTTGTAGGATTCATGTTCTTCGTTAACTGTCGGGACTAATCCATTAATACCACTAATAGGGCATTCACTATGATCCAACAAAACAGTAGAAGTATTCTTAGTCGGAATGACAGAGGAGCCATAATTCTTATCAGTGACCTCAGTAGGTTCTCTCTGTTTCACGGGTAACTCTACGATAGGAGTAGCCAGTGGGACCCGAATTGGTTTTATCGCTTGATATGGTAACAGTATCGCACTGACTAAACTTTTGGTAAATGGAAAGCAGTTAACAAAGAGGTCGTTGCGATGAACATCAGTTCTTGTACCTACGTAGCGGCTATAGGAAGAGATTTTTTTGTGTAAGTGCAGTTTGAGATAGGTAGAGCCCAGAATACGAACACAATGTATAGGATCGAGATAGCAGGGATCAAAAAAGTAGGAGATATATCTAGGCAAGCGAAATCGTACATTGTCAGCAAAATTTTTCGCCTCGCTGTAGTTGGGGACGTAAAAGGAGGTAGGTTGTATATGGAAACTGTATGACCAGTAGCCGAGAGGATGCCACCCGCATTCGTCCATTACAACAAGGTCGCTAAGACTAGTAGGTACGCCAGTTCTGTCACCATAGTTAGCACGAAATTCTTCTAGCATTGCACGGACCACACTGCTGAGGATCTTAATTATTCTAGTCTTTGGTATCTTGGCATAAGAAGAGAAACTTAGTAGTATCTTCAGAAGTTGCTTCGAATGAGGGAAGACTGTCTCCAAAAAGGAGCGTAAATGTTCTGGAGTATTTTCATTATGTTTCCAAAATTCTTCCCTAGAATTAAAAACCTTATACCCACGTGCGACATTATCTTGTACTATGATTTTCGTAGATAGAGTGTCTTTATCCAAAGATACCTCAACATCATACAAGTCACGAAATAGATGTTTACCGTTATTCATCATGTATTTCAGATGTAGACAACTATTACCATAAATTTCGTTTTTTCAAATGGAAACATGAAACAGAGAAAACAGCTAAACGATAAAAAAACGGGTAGATAGGTAGAACCAGTAAGTTACCAAAAATGACCAGTATCCACGTTTTATCGGACACATCGCAATTGTGAGAGGTCACGGGGAACCACATTGTATACTATAGAAATATATGAAATCCTAGGCGAATGTCCACGGAAGTAAAAATTCCAGTATTTCTAGGCAGAGCCTATGAAGTAAATACTCTGTAATGAAATACAAAGTATTCGTTGCGTTTCGATAAATGACGAGAGGTAATTTCATAAGAAATGTAATCGTATTCCAATCTTGGTAGCGATTGTTGCATGTGTCCATATATTCTTGGTAACTATGTTAAAAGTGTCATACATGTTTTTGGTAACGTTTGTTACTGTTTTCAGAATTTTTGGCAACAATGCTCGTATGTTTCTTAGTAACGATTATTACTGTGCTCTGATAAACAGCGGATTCCTAATCGATAATTTATCACATAAGTGATTGCTCACGAGGATGTTATAATGTCATAATATCTGTTGCCGATCAGTAAAACCACCCAGAATCTTTACTAAGAATAACTTTATTAACACATGCGGTTACAATTACAAACTATTGTATAGCTTTCATGTAAATAAGCCATAACAAAGACAAAATTCTTCGCCTAGAGAGTTGCCTGGGATCGCAAGACTATAGTCCAAACGTGTCATCACTGCTGTTAAAACAGACGACATCTTAGCCAAATTGCTCGCATAATTTCATTAACTAGTGCTTCCGATAATGCGCCCTCAAGACAACACATGAATGTCATGTGACTTAAAGTAAATGCAGTTCGGTCAGTTCGCTCCCCTATAGTGAATTTCACTAAAATCCCAGCCCATGAATGTTAATATAGTAAGGGTCAACTCTAGTACTGCATGCACGTGATATTGAAACCTGAGGATCCTATGTCATGTGAGCTTGATGGAAATGATTAGGAGAAAATCTCATCCCGTCTGCTTCAGAGGTGGTAACGGTAACCAAATACATTTTCTACATAGCGCATAATAACAAGTGTATCCCCCATTCTCTTTCAATGAATCATACGCTGATATGAGTCTCGAATAAAAATGACAAGGCTTGGTCTCGGACGCAGCCAATTATTTTAAGTGGTGTAGTATTTCTCATGTGACATTCCATGGTTTACCTTTGACAATCTTGTATAAAAAAAACGAGTACGACAAAAATCTTAGCTCTTGTTTAGAACCACGTGATATCGCCAAGCACGATGCTGAGAGTAGGACAAGAATCGAGGAATTGGAGAAATATAGAGCAGACACTACCTCTGAGAACGCCAAATCAGGAACCTTATTAACCATAAATACCATCATAGAATCTGCACATAGTGACTATATTCCTAGGGCGCTCAACCACGCTTAGGAGGTTCTAGGAACCTAGGTTCATAGGGGTAAAGTTACTCTTATTTGAAAACATAACCATGTGAGCGGGTTTAATCAGAAAAAGCAGTGCGACTACCCTTAAATTTAAAGTTTCGCAAAGCCTATCATCAATGCGTAGTCAAACAATAAAGTAGTTACACCGCATTAGTACATTGATGAGACTTGTCAGTTCCACTATTTCTAAGGACTGAACTTCATGTTAGAACGAAAAACACAAGGAACTATTTTTATCCATTCGCAATTAACATGTGGCTTCGTTACTCGCAAATGAGACCAGATATGATTTTCGTAGCCGGCAACAGAAAATTTTTTAAAGAGTTTCTACTTCGTACTAACCGTCTTGCCCTGGATTCCATCCTTTATAATTTCCTCGTTCCTCGAAAAATCACTTCTTTGAAGGTCCTAACATACTAAAGATTTTTTTGTACACATTTGTTTATTATTCATCTACGTAATTGAATGACCGTCTTGCCCTAGATTCGTGAAGCGAATCCCTTCGGGATTCCATCTAGAACTGGAATGACCTGAAGGGAAAAAATGGACACGTTCATTGGTTAACAATTTTTTACTATGCACAAACATTATCAATTACATGACCGTCTTGCCGCTCAACCACGCTAGTTAAATAAGGAGGTTCTAGAAACCTTGGTTCATAGGTATGCAGAAAAATCTCTATGATTTTTCGAGGAACGAGGAAAATTAGTCTTTAGACCTTCCTTCGGAAGTGGAGGAGGAGGTTCTAGGGACCTACGTTCATAGGGCAAGACGGTCAGTTCATAGGGGTAGTAGTTCCAATACTTTTTTCATGAAACAGGTAAAAATGGGATAACAGAGGAAACAGAAGAGTAAACATTAAACGAAAGACGAACGAGAACACAAAAATGTATCTTACATAGCGATAACGTAATGGATAATATTAACAATAACAACTACAGTATACTGCACTAATACCGCTATGTGGTACAAGTGTTCACTCATGTAGTACAATCTATTCAAAAATACTCAGCTAAGAGACTGTGACCCGTGGGTCACGAATGCCTTACTTCGTTACTTCGTTACATGTTTTACAACTTAGCATGAACTGCTAAGCATGTTTATTATTTCGGCTGAAAAAATTATAATACGTCACAAGTCACGTGACACTCTGGGCAATGTGTAGAGTGTCACGTTATTTGTATTACATAATACTACTGCGGTATACTTTGTTCACTTCAAGCTCGTATTTAACCTGGTTGATAGTTTTTACAGCCAAAATACTATGATATACATGGACTTTATGGTCATAAAACCTGCCCGACAAAAGTAACTTGTAGCACAAAATTTATTTCACCAGAATGTTCCGTGGATCTCATGTAAAACGCACGGAATGCAGAAGATTGCTAAACATAAAAATTACGCCACAGGACACTTAAATTCTGTAGCTAGTGATCAAAGAAGTATGGTTCACAAGACAATAAAGAGGTTCTACTTCGAAATTTTCATCCCAATTTCACCTGTTTAATGGCAATTCTAATATTATTTAATTATTCACACTGTTTAGTAAAAAAGAGAGCATCCGTGTGATTATTTTTTAGTTGTGCCCGTACAAATCCAAGGCAGATTCTACTTCGTAGACATAGCCTAGGAATTTCGTTATCTTGCAGCGACAGGGATAAGTCCACATAACAGGACAAAGTGTGTATTTCTTCGTTTTCTATACCTCAAGAGCATAGCAAGGCAAATGTATAGAAATGGGCTTATCCAGTTCCACTTATTCAGAAAATGCCAACACTGTGTAGAAGTTTACTTCGTAGGTTCTGCTGAGTAAAAGAAGTTGTCAAGTGTCTGAATTGAGAACATTTGAGGTACGAAGCACAAACTCCAAAACGGTCAACTCACCCCCTAAACTAGTTGGTGTTCTTCAGAAGAGCGAAGTCCACGCTCATGGTATTGCGAAGAATGTGTTTCTAATTTGGGATTCAGAAATTTATACACATAGTCGACATGAATATAAAGTAAACAGCATAATCGTACAAAAACCAGGTATACGAGGGATTGGGATAATGTTTGACATATGACTTAAAAAACCAGTGGTCTCGTCTTCTCTTACATAGCTCCTTTCTGTAAAATCCCTATGCACAGAACAATCATTCAGAACACATGTGACCATATTCGTTACCATGACTTGTAAGTAAGTTTCATACATAGAGACAACATTCTAACGAATCGTTGCCTAGGACTACAAAAACAATAAAGCCAGTGCTTCCGATTCGAATGTTCAGAGCGCTGGCGACAGTGATAGACGACAGGAACATAGCTCAATTTAATCATTACTCACCTGCGAAGGAGCCTTCATTTTTTGTTAGGCACGCATTCGATCCCATTTGGTCATTAATTATACCTCCATGCATTACATTGTCTTTTGCCATTTTTGAACTGGGATACGAGAAATGCTAAAAAGATTATTTATAGTTAAAGAAGAAGGGTTGCCACTAAATCTCTTCTCTGCATATATTCCTGGTATTTTCTCCACAGTCGTTGTCCGTTAATAACAAAATAATTATCATTCGCTTATTATTCTTAACGACAACAAAAAAGACACAACAAAGCAATATATTTTTTGAGTATGGCAATACATAATGAGGTTTCTTAAAACGTACAGCATTCGTGAATATGTTAATAGAAAAAATAACGCATCTCTACTTTACATAGGCACAAGGTAGCCTACCATATAGGATGTGAGGAGTTTACATGGATGTGCGACAAATATACCCAAACAGAGTCCATTCATTAGTTCCTAAAGTATCCCTTTTGTGCTAGTTCCCCAAATTCTCCAAAGGTTGTACAGGGATAATAATTATTCGATATTAGCATTCTCGTGCCATCGTTGTCGACAATTTTGGCTGTGCTAATCCCTGAAACAGTTGTACTAGTAACGCAGTCCCCAGGAAACACTAATCTGATTTCTGTAACAAATCGCATTCGCACGCACAGGTGTGAATCGAATTCTGATGGCATGGTAGTATTAACAAACCTATTCATGTTTTCGTTTATACGAGACGCACCATAGTCATTTACTGGAAATTCTTCTGTAGAGTATCGAAGTACCACATTGTTCGTGGCTACTTTTTTGAAGTCCCCAGGGGAAAAACACGGAATTCCATCCTCTGTCACCATTAAAAGTCGACCATGCAGTAAGACGATTTTGTTTCTGCGGCGTATGTTCCTTTCGTCATCTTTATACACATATATTTCCTTATCCTGGATTTTCCTATCTATAAAGTTTTCAATAAACGTGGTTTCACTGTCATCTATGTTCATTATCAGCCAGTGACCACTCGAAGAGTACACGCCCTATATTACAGAATATATAGTTTCTGCTTTATCGCAACACCGGAGTACCGTACAGTTTATTCACAACAGTGTTAAGTGCTACCAGGTTTCAGCGAGCCACTCATCTTTAGTTCTTTGCCCATAAAAAATTAGCCTTGAGATACAATAGTTGTGTTTGCATGGAGTAGGGAAACACAATACCGGAAGATGTTCAAGCACATTGCGGTATAATGTCCACCGGTATTTGTTCTTAAATAAATTATAGAAGAGCACATGGTATGGGCTTGATTGCCATGCTATAATGAATAAGTAAACTCATTATTCGTTTCGGTAATAGGCAAACTGGATAATAGAAGGATTTTATACGGATTCCTTTCAGGAATGTAAAAACATTTAGGAGAAACGCATTGGCCATTAATGTTCTCGATATGATTTCCATATGACAGATAATGATATAAGTGTTGTGCTGATTATTGTCACAAAGGGTCTACAAGGGATTACAGAAGTTTTTGTTCACGTCGCAATCTTGTATTCAGAAGGAATCTCGAAGTATTTCCGATTTTCTTGTTTAATGATTTCTTCCTTAAGATGAAGTTCGTCAACTACATGTGGAAGATTGCCCATGCGAAAAATTACTTATGTAACACTATTACGTAGAAAGATGCTCAAATAACGAGACTGGTGACCTGTGGACTAGGTCATCTACTTGTCTTATTCCATAGTTCTACTGTGTCTCATGCAACACAAAATTAGTTCATACATCATGACATCCCTGTAGCACAATCTGTTGCCAATGATGAGACCGTAACCAGTATGTCACCTTTAGTACAACTTCAAAAACAGTTTCCTAAGGAACGATCAAAGTTACGTATTTTCGAAACAGTTTCCTTAGGAAACGAGCATACTTTTCCAGTAAAACTAAATAATGTGCTTATTCCACTATGTGAGACATTAAAGAGTTAAAACAGTGTCGCAAGTGAAAATCTTCGTAGCACGATGATTTGAAATTGGCATAATGACTGGTATGGTCCATAACAATGGACATGGGCAACTACGAATCCTTAAGAGAAAAATGGTAACCATGTGTTAAAATACTCTGTATATTGTGGCTATTGGCTTTAGCTATTTCACTATATCATGAGTTCTGCGCTCATCCTTAAAACCCCACTACGGGCATGGATTTCTTTAACACAGATATTCTTCAGCATTCTCCTTCATAGTGTTGTAGTAGTATAACCTTAAAAAATAGACACCCAGACTAGCATATTTATACATACAGTAGTGTGTATCATTTTTGTGTGTATTATTTTTTGGAAGAGGAAAAAATATGTTAAAACAAATTGTCGTTTCTCGTATTTATTACTCCAATGAACAGGACGAAAGTCAGACAAAGCTCAAATTTTTATATTGGTTGCTTTATTGCTACTGCACTACACATACTTCTGAATAATTGCTCTGATCATACTCAGGATTTTGCCCATTAGATTGTGTACCAGTGCAAATGCTTTTTCTCCTGTAAACGGTTTTTATAGAATTTCGTCTTTCTTCGAGCACATGCGGATTAGTATGACTATACAATTGACTGACGATCACATTAATATCGTCGTACATCTGGAGAATATTTTGATCACAACGCTTGAGGTATTCTACTACCAAATTTTCATTAGTAGCATCTATAGACTTTACGGCATGTATGTCATTTACGATGGCTTTGAAATTAGTTGACACTTTTTCTAAAATGGTAATATTATAATTAGTATGCAATTGCGTATTTTGTTCCCATGATAACAACAGATCCTGTATAAAATAACAGTTAAACTGCATATCAGCTAGTACAGAATTTAACTGAGAAGGGCTACTTGTCTCAACAAGATTAACGTCGATTTTCAGTACCCCCCTATTTTCTTCAATTCATGAATATCTCTAATCAGAGAATACAGTATTTTCGGTGCACCTTTTTCAATATTCTGTGTGAATACTATGGGCCAGTTTGTATCACACTCGTAACAATAACAACGATATTCCAGTGGAGTGTCCATGATGTTTTTAATATAAAAATATATTCAATTTTACGAATAGTAGTAGATATCTAGTTTCAAGCATAAAAACACTGGCTGCAATGACTCTCCATTAATGTAGAAGCTCAGTTCAGGAAGATGAGCAGTTACAGAGTAATAAAATAAACTGTTAAGGGAAATTCGCACTGGTGTGTAGATAATTTGTAATCCCATAAACAAGCGAAACTGGACAACTGCACTCTTCGCTTTACTTTGCTTTAGTTAAACCAGAGTTCCTCCGAACTGGTGATCTTCACTTCGTAGGAAAATCCCGGGTAACTATCCTCGCTTCACTCAGAAATCCATACATGTTTTCCTTGAATATATTTGCACGCAATACTCTTCTTATTTTCACACGCCAATACCCTGAAGGTGCGGAGTATTACTGTTAATAGATAATAACACAATGCATACGGAAAGCTCCACTTCCCATAAAACCAAATGTTTTATAATTCGAGAGGAAGTCCTACCCAGAGGGTAGTTTGGAAGTCTCATAGACTAAATTACTGTCAGTGCGAAGTTAGCTCCGCACATGAAGCGAATTGAGAACATTAGTATGAGGAAAACAGTCAACTCGTTCCCCTATACTAGTTAGTGTTCTTCAGAGGACCGAACTCATCTCTTAGGTATTCGAATTTTTACACATAGTCAACCGATTCCCTCTTAACCATTATTAAGTTCAAAATATCATGTGCTTCACACAAAACTAGTCCTTATTGCGATTAAGCCTTAATTTTTGAAATACGTAAAAAATTTACTAGTCACGTGAGGAGAATGTGCCTCTGGTTCCCAAATAAATCACGTGATACTGCGTCAGGCCGAATAACAAGAATTCCTTGACCAGGTATCAAATTTGTTCAAGCCATATGGGCGTTATCCGGGTTCATTAATTATGGAGGTCATATATTATTATATTCATGTACTTTGTCCACAAAGTGAAGTACCCTCATTTTTCTGGATGGAATTATTGCGTCTGTGGGTATTAGAATGCCGGAATTATCAATATAGGCTCTGTATTTCACGAAATCAAACTATACATGTAGTCGTGCATTCTCTTAGTCTGTTCGGGGAAATACAAGTCGACTATGGGCGGCAATACCAGCTTTTGTTGACTAACTTCAATGAAGGTGGAAAATAAAAAAGCTTGGGCATTCGACCGGAAATGTATAGGAAAATCTCTACTTAGTTTTGAAGTACAATTTCATGGCCAATTCCCTAGGAACTAGTGTGGGTGTCTTCATAACATGTGAGATATTGAACATAAGAAAATACATGCATGCTATTCTTTTGTGCAGAAGAGGCCGCAGATTGAATGCCTTCCCACAAAAACAAGCAAAAGTTTGTCCCAGACAAGGACCAAGAGATTTTTATTAGCAGTTTTGCGAAAGAAGAGCTAGTGTTAGTGGCAGGACCTGGGGCAGGGAAAACTACGGGCCTATGTGCGTTCATTGCCAGTATTATGAAGCCGGCTAGGATACTCGTCCTTATGTACAACAAAAAGGCTCGAGACGATTTTGAGAAAAGACTTAAAGCATTCAGGGTTCCCGCCCGCAGTAAGAAAAACATCATTGCGAAATGGATCAAAGGTTGCTACGTGGTGACCTTTCACGAATACGGTTACTGGTCTCGACTGCAACCCCTCGGTGAAAGACTAGATGAAAATAACAAGCGGAGCTATCAACTTTCTGAAGAACGAGCGGCCTGCATTCCACGACTCGAGAGTGAAATATGGGACTGGGTCATCGTGGACGAGGCCCAGGACGTTACAACAGAGCTGTCCCCGTTTATAGACCAATTGCGTCCTCCTTCTTCTTCACACTTAGTGATAGCAGGGGATCCACGCCAGGAGCTCTACACTGGCGCATACTGGTTCTCTAATTTTCTTAAGTCGGTGGATCCATCCAATGTCGTGTACCTCTCGTATAACCATAGATCCGCTCCACGTATTGTTGCCTTTCTTAATGCGTTCAGTGCCCTTCACTTTCCGACTCTCCATCGCCAACAGACTGCCACACGCACTGACATGACCGGCACTGTAACAATTGCGTCGCCTAATGTTTACAACTCTCTTTCACTAGAGGGCAAGATTATCGGAACAAAGATAAAAACGTACAGCCCCCATGAGATATTTGTCATTGGCCCCGTGTCTGTAAAGCACTATGGCTGCCATGAGTTGGTCCTCAACATTCGTGAACGGTCCTACCGCCATGACTCCCGTAATCAAATCATTGTGTACAATGAAGACATGGGCAATAACGTTAATGACGAGCATTCGTTGGTGGTAGGGACTGCGTGTAAGCTCAAGGGTCGAGAAAGAAAAAGTGTGGTGGTGATGAAACCCAACGCTAAGTACCAGAAACTCCTCTCTCGTGTGTCTCTCATCAAAAGACTGTATGTTGCCCTCTCTAGGGCACAAAACGACTTACTGGTTGTTTTTGAGAAGGATTTCCAGTACTTTCCGTTTTTTGATGCTATCCCCAAAAGTCTCCTGCAAACTGATTTGGTAACTAAGAAAGCATTTTTCCCTCCTCCCCTCCCTGCTGTATACCCTGACTACCGGAGCTCCAAAATGATACTGAAAGTGAGGGACAACTTAGCCACAGCGATAGAATGGTGGAAACCAGTCGTTTCTGATGATAAAAACGCTATTCCATGTTTGTCTATTATCATAAAAAATGACCCAGACTTCGTTGAACTCTTCGTGAAAGCGTTCATTGCAACACATTGTGGTATCGAATGGGACACTATTACTATGAAAAGCGCAGAAAAAAACAGAAGGAAAGAACTGCTTGAACCATCTGAGCGGCTGCAACATTATACTCTTTCGTATGACACACTTAGACCGTATGTCGAGAAAATTCTTACTAGTCTGTCTATCGAAAAATTACAGTGGTACCGCAAAGAAGTACACATTGACATCTTTCCCCATAAAGGGGGGGCACACATCGGAAAACTGATTGGTGCTGTAGATTTCGCCTCCTGCGATGAGAACGATGACATCGTGGGGATTGTTGAAATGAACCATACTACACCACGTCCGTCCCATTATATCGAAGCCGCTATTTATGCTTCTATGACAGGGTGTTCGAGAGCCTATTTGTTGAATACGAAAGAGCACCCAAAAAAGAATGGCATGGCTCCTTGCGATGTCGGCCATTTCCGTGAAGTTTTACCGCTCCCACTCGATGAGGTAAAAGATGTTACTCGTGCACTGTTTGCATTGAGCCTTTCTGTTATGGCATCGCAATATAACCCATGCCTGTCGGAACATTACCCCCCAAATAAACACTATATCGCTGTTGATGTATCATTTGACGAGACTGCCGCATTGGCCTTTGTCCCGGGCACAGACTCTATACTCGGTCTATACCACAGAGAAAATACGGATGACGCAGAATCTTTTGCTGAGTTCTATCAGTGGGTAAAAACTAATGCCGCCGTGTTCACTTTTCTGTATTGGTCGAAGGCTTCTTTTCTCTTAGTTGAGAAAATTTCGGCATTCTTGTCTGTGCTGGGTACCAAAGTAGATACTATTGATGTGCGTTCATACTATATTGAGTGGACAAAAAGAACACCTATTCCACAGTCAACTCTTTCCATCGAAGGTTTATTTACCGAAGAAGGACCGTCTCATGAGCTAGTGGAGCTGGACGATGCTATTTCTGCCGTATTGGGAAAAAATACACCATATGGCCAAAACTGTGCGTACGAATATGCTGTGATGATTGCTAGCGTTTTTAATGGAGTTAGTAACATCAACGGCATTGTCTGAAGTACCTACAGTTTATGCTATTGTATGGTTAACGTAATCCTAATCCTCTATTATTCAAAGGAACTACGGTGAGTATTTATGTCTATCGGATACACTTGTTTTTTGTAGCAATACTGTATGTTGTGTTCGAAGCCCTTAACTACCGTCTACTTCGGCTTCACTTGGTAGAACTACGACTAATTTATTGTATTTATTCGCATATCTTTTGTTTCTAAGCACTCTCGGATACAACATGCAAATATTTCTAATTGTACATGTAGAATGCCACTCAGCTCGTTACTGAGAACACCATATTATTTCTTAGCGACGAGAGATATTTCACAAACAGTACATTACGTTATCAGTTATAAGCAAATGGTCGCAAATTAGTCCATGGACCTTCCGAACTACCCTCTGGGTAGGACTTCCTCTCGAATTATAAACCATTTGGTTTTATGGGAAGTGGAACCCGCATGTACACTTTAGCTCCCGTATAATACTTTTTATTTTAACAATTACTGACGTATTCAGTCATATGAAACTCTGAACGGGTAATGTGATAACAGGTACGTGTCCACAATTTTCCTGGTCGAAGGTTTTGCATTTTGTCTCATGCTACTATTTCTTACATGCTATTCTATAACAGTGAATTATTTGTTTACTATTAATAGCACTCTTAGCTATTTCGTCAAGTTGACTACAGTTCTACTTTGTGTGTCCATTAGAAGCACAATATGTGTGCCTTAATACGAACAGGAGCGACTACTTAGCTTTATCTTACATGTCTCATTGTGACTGCGTTTTAGTTAACATATCTTAAACTCTACTATTAAATAATGTGTACTCTTTGAGGCTCTCCTACTGACACAAAACATTCTCTTCGAAACAAGAAATAAGAATTTGCGAATACCAATACTACTACTTAAATATACTATTTTACACGTTGTTTTTGTGCAGAGCCCGGTTCCACTGAGTTACATGAAAATTTTACTCACCGTTAGTGGCAGTCTAAACTAAGACTAGCCCTCTGGGTCCACCTTTACTCATAAAGGAGTGAAGACTTGGAGTGTCACGAGCAGATTACTATGTTATGTTCTTCTGGCCTTTTAGTAAGAGGAATTACCCACGTTCCTAAGAGAATGGCTCTTATTGTTCATTTTCCCTCTCTGTTGTTTAAGATTTTTTATGTCTCCAACTGTTACCATTATGGTGTTATTCTGTTATGCGTTAGACTCTACATACTACAAAGTTTTTTTCGGCGATGTACCCACAATGCAACCATGATTCTTCTGTGGGCAAGTGTTCTCCTACTGATCCCTTTCTCATAGGGTGTCTTATCGTTTTTATTTAAACAAATACATTATTATATAATCTTTGGGAAATTAGAAATACGAGCTATGTCGTGTAATGCAGATAATAGAATTATCCCATTTGAAAAAATGCAACAATACGTATATTTTTCTGAAAATCAAATAATGGAGAATTACCCTGTATATGATATGGCTGACGATAACTATGATGCTGAAGATGACTATGATCTTTCTTCATATCACGAAGAAAAAAGTTCGAATCCCTATGCTCGCTATATTGCTCAACGCCTTGCTTTGGAAGCTTACATTAATGGGTTTAATAACTTCCTTGCCCAGACATATGGTTTCTCCCTTGGCCCTGAAGATTACCTCACCATACCTGAAGGAATGTTTGCCATAGAAGACATCGGACCTCATGTCCGTGAATGTCAATATAAGGCTGAGCAAAAATTTCGTGCAAAAAAATTCTCTGAACGAGAACCTTATTCACAGTATACACAAGACTGCGATTACACAAATAATTCTTATACTATTGTGCCTCATTCTTTCCCAGAGAATATGACATCGTCTCTTGTCGCTTCTTTTGACGAAAATGAGGACCTTGACTATCTCAGTGAAGCTGAGAATAACAATGACGAGAAGGAGAGACCTCTGAACGAAACTTTGTTTTCTGACAGCGATGAGACTGACTATCCTGTATACTGTAATTATTTATCTGATGACCATATTTGTTCGTTAGATTTCGTAGAATCCGAGGGTGGATCATTGATACCATCAGACCAAAACTGCTGTGATTTCCTTCAGAATGATCACGAGGTACCAGTGGAACCTACGGCCTCTTCTGATTCGAATGGAAACGTTGTTGCGGAAGAAATAATCGAACTTCACGGTACAATTCCTCATTTGTGTGATGATTCCCCATGTTTGTTATTTAATCCCATCTACGAGTCATTCCGTATGAGTAATGCGATTGTGGCCACTATTCTTCAACGTATGATTTTTCCACCAGAACATAAAAATATACAGGAGACTTCGAATAATTTCGTCCTAAGTTGGTTATGCTGTGATAAACTAAGATATGCGACTTCTGTTTGTTTTCCTGAGAATTACAACTTGTCATGCTATTCGAGAGGAACAGTTTCTAAAGGGTACAGAGGTACCAAGGTGATGAGTAAGAAGTCACCTTATGGTATTATTCTGCTTCCACAGCAATTATCTACAGCCAATTCCAAAAAAAGGCATTCTCCTAAAGTGTTACTGGGCCGAAACATCAAGCTACTTGCCGATTGGTTCACATTGTGTCATAGGAGAATTCAACTACACCGAATAACACTAAAGGAAATGGACCGTATATATAATCACCAAAAAAATCCGGTAAGACAGTTTGATACTCCTATGTCTCCTTTCGTTAACTCACGAAAGTCTATATTCCCACTATCAAGTCCCTTAGTGGTGGACGTAAGAGCATGATCTTTGAACAGTGGGCTCGCCTAGCCAAGGGCTCTCCGACTGATATAAGTGAAGGATCTGCATGAACAGGTTGGCGAGATTTTGTCTATACCAACACGTAGAACATAAGTACGGGAGAGAAGATTAAATGAAAAAAACGGGAGGACTACGCCATTCCACGAACAGGGGGGTTTTTGTGTCACCGAGAATAGTTGTTATCCGATGCATTGGTTAGCATATTTTATTACGTGTCCGACGAATAGTGCACATACATAAAAAACGAATACAAAGAATTGGAGAAGTTATATTTTTGGCAAACTGAGGACATATCATCACTAACGCAGTTCATATTACGTGTTAACGGTCCTCATTGTTTTTGATTAAAGTAGTTGCGTAACCGCACTCTTAATCTTGTGATACTACACTGTCTTACATAGTACATGGTTTGTACCAGTTATTAACACTTGCTCATGTCCGATAGTAAAATGCTATCAATATGTGTCCCCACTTTCCCCGAAATTAGGAAGAACACGTGATATCGATACCATCGTGTGACCGTGGCGCAGTATTGTTTCATGTGACACTCTGAACATATGTGTGGAGTGTCACGTGACTGTAGCGCAGTATTTATTCTTGTGAAGACTCTGGATAAATGAGGGCCCATCTCATGTGCCCATTGAGACACTTTGACTTATAGTCACCTTGACATTTTACACGTTACAACGATATCTGAGGTCAACGGATTTTCTCTTAATAGTAATAGTTTGTTGTTTTCGATCAGTAAGACCAGACAAATTTCTGTTACTTGTCGTTACTTGCTGTTACACTCATTATAGCTAAAAAAATGGTAACTGTCACAGCGATATGTTTATATCAATCTAATCGAAATCGCATTTGTTCTATTAACCAGCGATATAACGCAACGAGTTGCTTTTACAGTGAACAAGCGGTAAACATTTGTTGGCTAGAATTTCTGCACTTTAGCCCCCTTCACATTAGGAACACATTACTTCGTAATACCACGGCATGTCGTAAATACAGTTACGTAAAAATTATGTTTTCTAAATGAATCATACTGAATTTATGAAAGCATTATTATCCCATTTTATTGGGAACAGTAGACAACAGTAATATCCGCCCAGTACTACTGTAGGATATAGCATAATCAACAGTGAATAATGGTGTCAGCTGTAGTATGAACAACTTGTACCTTTTCTCGTTTATTATACTGTATCTGTTGAGAATTTAACTAAGGGTACAACGATTATTAGCAAATGAGTTTCTTGACTACATTTTTCCACCCTCTATCAAAAACGTGCATGAAGTATTTCTTTCATTAGCATGTAACTCGTATTTATTAAAAAATATAAGAAATAAATAGTAACTGCATTAACGTTACAAGTATTGCCACCAAAGGATATTTATGAGATCAGTTGTATTAAGTGGTACTTGATAATGCGGTAAAAAATTGAATACCGGGGCTGCATACAAGATACCATACTATCCTAAAACAACGAATATGAATAGTGTTATTATTACTTAATAGTACATCATTCCGAATTTTTCTATACGAGAAATTATTCCATGGTTATGAATGACCTTGCTTGCTGAGATAGAAACTTACAAAATAATATTTTTTGTTTCTCTGTGCAACCAAATTGGTATGATTTTATCGTCACAAGATTAAGTTAAATAAGTCGAGTCAGAGACTATATAGCGCTATAGTGGGTATTATTATTTGGTACACAACTGTTCTTCAGAGATAAACTAAACGAATATTATGTGTTTTCTATGGAATTAACGATGGAGCTTCGCTCAGTTTCACTGAGTTAATGTTAGTAATACAAATACATCCTAGAATTTTGTACTACGTATTTTAGTGTGAAACTCACTTCCACGAGTAAACTATTTCAGTCGGAAACAAAATAATCACATGAAATAAATCTCGTTTGCCGTGTAAATAGCTGCCAAGTAACTTACTAGAATAATGTGCCACGCCTGTGACTTTTTTCATTTATCTTGTACATTCCTTCTTTGTTTAGTGAACACGTTTCTAACGAACTCCTGTTTAAATATATATGTATAGTAAATGAAGTAGAAATCAACCAGGATCATTCGTTTAATGTGGATAAACTAAATAGGTTACACTCTGTTAGTTTTAGGAGAAATTACTTGTTAGTTTTTCGTAAAACGTCAATGCCCACCAACGAGCACAACAACATACGTAAAATTTTTTTGCAAGTTAACTGGTTTCTATAGACTAAGTAAATAGTGACGTGGAATTATCATTATATTGACAGTTTTGTAACAATTCCTAAACACATGAGGCCATGAGGTTCGTTTCTGAACAAAGGAACCAAATACATGAGTATGGTTGTATTCTCAAAATTATAAGTCAAAAAACAATATATAAGGACAGAATCTTATAAAAGGTTAAGAGACACTCATTCCGTTAACTACTAGACAAGTTTACTACATTGACAAGTTTTGTACTTCGAATCTTAAATACGCTTATTGTAAACCATGTGTTTTTACTAGGCAGAGCTACGAAGTAAACTTCTGCGCAGTGTTGGGAATTTCGGATTCCATTTTCTATCTATCAAAGACTAAGAAACACTAATGAAAAGGTAGTATTCTGTAGGGTTTCACTCCCATGTTACTACATTAAACGACATATGAAATGTCATGGGAAACTAGTTATTTCCTGACCGATGACATAACATATGTGTTTGGTCATGTAACGCTCTGAGCCCAGGAACCTAGGTTCCTAGAACCTCCTCTGTTAAAAGCGTGGTTGAGCAACAAGACGGTCAGAGTAGAGTATCATATGACTGATAGCATAACGTGTCATATGAATGACGACGTGAGGGCAAGTATTAGCGAAAAATGCCCTATTAACACCATTTCGTGTCTTAGTAAATCATACTATTCCGAATAAAAAAACTGTACTGTACTACAAAATGCCAGTATTTCCATAAAATTTGTGAGAGTTTCTTTTGGTCACTTGTAGCTTCATCAAGCTCTACTGAAACAATGAATTCAAAAATAAACATATTTGACTGTTTTTACGTAATTGCTTGTTCTCCTCTTTCCAAGAAATAACGTTCACTACTATATATCAACACAAAGTGATTCATCTTTAACAATTCAGGGAGACAGAGCGAGCTACATTCGGGAATTTCGAGTCAATATATATTCTGGTATCAGTTTCATAATACGTTACGTGAAATATTGGTAACTACTATGATCACAATATTAAAAATTACAATATGATGTTCTCGGCAGTGTAAACATGTAACACGAAAAGTTCCACAGTGTATAATTATTAATGCAAACTGATTATTGATCATCATTTTATGTAGCACAGAATTAGTTCTAATTAATACTAGTCAGGATGAAAACTTGTTCACGTAAATCCTCGGAGATATGGGAAACACTTATTAGTGTATGGTACAAAATTTGATGATCATACTGTTTTGCAAGGGGTCGACAAAGTAATAATTGAGTGCTTATCATATGAAGATCATAATATCTTCTGGATATTAGTAGCTTCTCTTTACCCCGTAGCTCTACAAGAGTTCCAGAGTTCTTTTGGAATAGCTAGTTTCACTGAAACTGAATAACGCCTCTGCATGTAAAAGCAGATAAGAACTGATAAGCATAACCATATTGTGAACTACAAGTGTTATTTGAATATCTGGTAACTAGAAACAACTATTGCTATAAGCATGGTATGATATTTGTTATGTGTTGCCGCAATGTCAAGAAATCATGTAACTGAGTTGTTTCGTAACATCGATCATTTTTTCTGAGAAACGAGAGTAGGTATACTAATGAATTATTCGATTATCGTCGGCTATACTATCTACTTCATGTAGTTGAATGCACTCGATTTCGTATAAACTAAGTATGTACCATATAGTTAAAGGGAAATTTGGGCAAGCCCAGTTACGTTGAAATGACTTACTTCTTTACCGAATAAGTGGTTACAAGAAAAATACAACGAGTTATATAGTGTTTATCGTTACCAATAAGGTATGCCACAGTACATTGCGATAATCCAAAGTTAAAGTGCTCAGATGATAATAAACGAACTATTAAAATGTTAGCTAAGGCTTCTTCAGATTTGGAATTTCCGAGACAGTCCCTGAATAATTTTTTCCGTTGTCCACTTATTATGCTAACATAATATATGAAAGGTCCCCTCTGAGAGGAGTTCCATTTTGGTAGGACACTTCTTTGTCGCTCAAAGTCACGTGATTTCTGAGACAGCCCGTCCCGCAAATTACAGAACGGACTGAACTGTAAAAATTTCAACGACCTGGAGTCATCAAAGTCACGTGATTCAAGATAACTCCGCAGCAGGTGCTCAACAATGAGACCGTGACCCGTGGGTCACAGGCTCCCTATTTCACTACTTTATTAAGAAGTCACGTGATAAAATTCTGTGAATAAAATTCACAATTTCAAAAGTCACGGGATAAATTGACGCATTGGAATATTTATCGCTTGCATATACTTCAACATAAATCGTTAAGTGTTGCTAAATATGACCATACACATTCTACCAGTTGGCCTTGTTAATTATTTATCAACACACTATATGAGTTATGAAGTTACGTGATCAAAATCGTTGTGTCTTAAAATTTTATTCGGATTAATTCTGACACAATATAACACAGTCAGGTAATGCCAAGTGTCAACGAGGGAAAATAACGTAAGCGACTGCGGAAAATATAAGCGGGAAAGAGGATAATGATATCAGATTGTATGTAGACACATGAGGAAAACCGTGAATAAATACAGTGGAACTAGGGCAAGCCCACAATAGAAGTCAAGTGTTTCAGGCGAACAAGTGTTCGTTGAAATCCCTTGGCAAAAGTAATCTGCGTTACAATTCGTCCCGTGGTCACATCTTTTTTCATTAGTGTGCTTTCATGAATATCATAAAAGATTACCCTAGTTCCACTGACAATAGACAGAAAATCTGGAAAAGAACTAAGAAGTGACGAGGTTAGATGATCACGATACCAGTGGTAAATGTACATTAGGGAACAAATCACTTATGGGACTAGTTGAACAGGGAAATTGTTTCGAAAGTCTATAGGCATCATTCATATACGCTTGTTCAGTCTCAAGGCTGCCTGAGGAATATTGTTTCGTTAAGGACACAGAGGAGCCTATGAATCTTTCATAGTAAAGCATATGCAGTAAAGATCAATCGGATTTGATACGATCAACCTTTGGAAATCTGGTCAGTTACTATAAAATACGCTCTGTAGATATACTCTCTCTATGTTAAAGTGGATTTGTTCCAGTGTCTAAGTATTCCACCCGAGTACCCACACTGTGCCATTAACAAAGTAACACTTAAAGAAAAAACTGAATAGCTGCAGTCGCATTGATTCGAAACACAGAGAGGTGAATGAAACTCGTGATACAGTTGGGCGTTCTTTGTGGTCTAGAAACCGATTTCTTTATACCATTATTTACTAACGTATGATTTCAGTGTAAAAATGTAGGGTAGGGATAGCAATAGTTTAAAATGGTGTACAACAGCATACGCAACTACATACATAGTTATGAAGTGTCATAAGGAATGTTTCAAGAACGTAGTACCCTCTGTTGAATTAGTGGATAGGATTGCAGTGAAACGTTGCACTCTCAAGAGGTATGCATAGCATTGACTTCGAAAACAAAAAAATACTAAAAACAAGATGCTCAAACATTCGCAGTCACAGTATTAGCTTCTCATAATCAGAGATACAACATTTATTTGTGAGACGAGAGCAGAAATATTTCCAAAGTAGCATAACGTACACCGACTGCAAAGCACAAACCTGTGACCTGAATATTGCTTGAGTTGTACAATATAGAAGTTATAAAGCGAACAATTCGTGTAAACGTCTGCCACAGTAGATCCGTTTTTCCGTCCATTACAAATATCACTTCTACTGCGACTACATTCATTGAACACGTTTATGACAATAACACCGTAACTAACTATTCGGCCACAAGAAATTTTGCGAACACCAATATCCCAAATGAACAGAGTAAGACTTAGGAGTAGATTCTGGAGAATAACCGGCATTCACGATCCAGTTACTTAAATGATGGAGGATAAACGTTCACATAACTAACGTACTCATATTAAGTGAAAATTATTAGGTATCACTGAGTGACAAACACTCGTATGAAAGGTTCGTTCTACAATAGATACAATCGCCCACGTTCACTGCCACAAAATGGGAAATTATAAGTTCCACTACGCTAGTAATACGTTAATGTTAACAGAAATAACGGGTAACGTTTGCAGTTCATGTCTTTTCCTTTTTATACATTTATAAAGTCTCTTGTGAAATTACATTGCAGCAGCCATGGGTATGTGTGTTATTACAATCACCATCGCATATGAGATGTAAGTCGTTAGCACATGTATGATTATTTCTTTGGTACTTTCAGGTGAGCATCTTAGAAATCAAGATTTCATTGTTCTGTCTTTTAACACACAATATCCATGGTTACATGTTACTGTAGTCAATAGCTGCAAGAATGTCTGGAGGCATTCCGAAGAAATAGAGTTCCGTATTTAGTTGACATACGCAGCCAAGAATATAATCACGGATATAATGTCAGTAAATTAATCGGGACACTTTCTCATGGGTTTGCTACTGTTGACCTCATATGCATAACCAAGCCCTATAAAAAAATTGGATACGTTTTTTATGAAGTTTTTATACGATTTTTTTTCCTTAGAAATAACGTATCATAATAGGATACGGAAAAATGCACAATTCCGTATCACCAAAAATATGGTTTGGATACGGAATTTGCACGGAATTTATATGGAATTTACATGATTTGATCACTGATTTTATCACGAAATTTATACGATTTGGTCACTGAATTTACTATTTGTATTACAGTTTACTATAATTGTATTTACATAAATCTAATTTCACTTTATTAAATTAAAATAAAAAATAAAAAATAAACAAAGTACAAATACATTATGAAAATTCCCTCAAAATTCCCTC